GTGGATTGGGACTTGAAAGGGCAGCTCACATGGAGGTGGGAAGGAGATGTTTGGTAAACCAGTGTTTGCTGGGGCATCTCTAACAGTGGGACACAGAGAGGACTCTGACCCAAGGGGCCTTGGTGGGTCCTCCCTGACTATCTCACCGAGTTCATGTTAAACTATGCTTACCTGTGATGATGGCTCGCTGCTGGAGCAGGTCCTCTAAATTCTTTTAGGCAGGTAGGGGGAAGGTCAAATAATAAAATAACCAGCTTAATATCCCAAAGCAGTATATGCTTGCCTTATCCTGCTCATCCTGGCTTCCCGGCTCACGTGACGGACAGTGACACTACCTAGGACCCAGGCTTAGCTCGCTTGGGGAATGCAGAAAAAACCCTCTTATCAAAGGTACAATAAAACAAACAGACAGACAAACAACAACCTTGCAATTAGAGAAAGCACAATGCAACCTATAATTGTGTCAATTTCGTATGAATGATGGGAAACCTTGTGGGTCCTTGGTTTAACATATCTTTCTCACCACATCTGGTTACTGATGCTTGATTCCTTCATATATGGGATGTCTTGGTGACCTAGTGTCTGTTTTCCGTTTCCGATACTTTCTGGAACTCTCTGTAGGAGCTGGATCTTGTGGGTAGCCAAGGAAACCCTCCTAGCTTCCCGCAGGCAGACTACCAGCTCTCACCCTTCTCCTGCTGGCTTTGCTTCCACAGCTGGAGCTCACTTCCTAACTGGCTTTCCTCCCTTCTCTTGCTCGTCTCGGAGCCATGGACCATTCTGTAGGCAGAGGGATGTTTTGGAAAGACTCCCCCTGGAAGCCTCGCCCGTGACGCCCAATGGCCTTCGGGGTGACGTCCACGCTGCAGCTTAGAAAGCTCCCTAACATCCCACCGTTTTCCTCAGCAGCCTCGTGTTCTGAAAATCTCTACCTTACTTCGTTTTGCTCTGGCTTTTCTGCACCCTTTCTCTCTGTCTGGAACCCCTGGCCAACTCTTCATTCTTTGGTCACCAACGCAGGTGTCACCTCCTCCAAGAAGCTTTCTGACACCCCTGGCTTGGGCTGGCGACCTATATTCTAGGTGCCCACAGCACT